TTTCATCCCCTTGGTAGCACCCCTCCCCCCCCCCCAAGTTGTACTCTTGTCCCTGTATTTCCTTAAGATCAGACCCCTGATGCATGTCACTGTACATATCTACATTAGTTTTATGTTATATTCCTATTAAGATTCTCTCAATGCAATGAAATTAATTTTTGTCTGTCAAAATATAGCATGGCATTCAGTTGTTGGTGTAACACAGTTACAGTGTCCAAGTGTCATAATTTTACTTGTTTATTGGCAAAAATTGTCAATGTTTTCTTGCGGTCACAGAACGTAACATATTTTGTCCACCCGTGCCATTTCATATGCCTAGTTACAATTATTTTAATTTACAGAACCACAGAATATAACAAAAGTAACTACAGCATTGGAGTTATGTATAAGAGTTATTCACTCATTTAGATGATTCTAAAGCTTAGTTACCTTTTTTCTATTCTATGTTTCTGTAAACTAGAACAATTATTATAGCAACTAGGCATGTGAGTTATCTAAAGCTGTAATTCCAACAATTAGGTACTAAGGGGCGGAGCATTAGAAAAGTGATGTGGGGGATTTTCTAAGAGGTAATTTTTTTTTTGTACACCTATAGAAGAATTTATTTTTTTTCTCAATTGATGGCTGGAAATATTTTTTTTAAGTGAACTTTATAGGCCTATCTTCCAAACAAGGAATTTTTTTTGCACTATGCCTGGAGAGATTTTTTCCCCTAATTTTTTTCTGGAAATAATTTTTTCCCCCACTCCCCCCTCCCCCATCACTTTTCTAATGGTCCGTCCCTAAACAAACGTTAGCCAAATTTTCTATTACCTGCATATAAAACATTGAAAAGTGTGTCAAAATACAACGAAAAAGTTGAATGTACTGGTCTGAAATACTAGTCAATATATTTCCCCAAACCCTTGGGCAAACATAGACATGCACTTCATGTTGTTGGGGAATTTTGTCAATAGACATTATGATAAATGGCGTCACAAGGCTTGATGCCTGCGAGGAATACTGGTCTTAGTAGTCATCACCCGGCAAAATTAAACAGTTCACTATCAAACAATGGCCACTATCGAAATGGCCACTATTGCCACTATTGAAATATTACAATGGCCACTATCGAAATTTTCCAGGCGATGACTATAAAGACCAGGATTTCTTGCTAGGATCAAGTCTTGTGACGTCATTATGCATTTAAGGTCTATTACATATGTATCTGGTTGTGGGGTATCTCAGGGGATGGGGTAGGAATATTCTTTCCATCACACTGGCTTGGCAAAGTCCATAATACTTATGTTAATTAAAAGAATAAAATTCTTAAAATGATCTATCAATTATACATAAATATAATTATACAGTATGGTGTTTCCACAAACTAAAACAAATAATATAGTAATTTGCTATATTAATGTTGAATATATTTTTGGTATATTGCACTTCTTAAAATGCACCCTGGATCAAGACAAAATAAATTTGTGTGATAAAGTAGTCACAACTTACCACAGTCACCAGAAAATTCAGAAACAGATGATGGGCTTTCAGAAGCATTCAGTTTCTTTGAAGATGGCTCGTTTTGTCTTTTAGAATTCGGAGTCAAAGCATGTTTTCCAGAACTGTCTTTCTTAGGAGTACTAGTCAAAGGCATACAGCCAAGATCGACTTCATCTTCATCTATAAATATTATAAATCCACGAATGAGAAGTGAGAAGTAAATTTGCACTTAATGCAAACTACAAATGCTCGAAGTTGTTCAGAAAGTTCTGTACCACATCCATGGAGATGGGATACAGTCTCAAAAGTGAAAGAATTATGTGAATATAAGAATATAACAAACCAACAGATTTTATAAAATAGATAAACAATGGATAAAACAAGCAGTTAAAGCAGGGCTCGAAGTAGAGAAAAATATGGCCTGCCAGTCTTAAATGTTTTGGCAAGTGAAATAAATTTTAGCCTGCCATTTTTATTCATTGGACTGCCAAAATGGAGATGTCTCATATGAGTCATATTGTAAAAATCAATGTTTTCATGCATTTTTAGTATTTTTAATTAAACTTGTCTATTTTACTACAGTACACTTGGATTTACATTTCAAATATAAATGTGTTTAGTCGACTAAATGATCTTGTATATATGAGTTGTGGTATAAAGCAAATGAAATGAAACTATATATCTATAGAATTTCACCTGCCATTTTTTTTTAACTTTGGCAGTTCAAATTTGTTTTTACCTGCCATTTCTAAAATATGGCCTGCTTTTGGCCATTGGCAGCCTGCTATTTCGAGCCCTGCGTTAAAGAATCAATATAAAAATCATGTACCAATTTGTACAAAAATCGTTTAACTTACCTTCCAGACTAAGGTTTTGAAGAGATGTATCAAGTTCCCACTCTCCTCCGCAGAGGCTTTGTAGATCTTTGTAGCTTGTTTGTATTTCAAGTGTGTTTTCTGCCATAAATAGTGTGTTAACCACAGAACCGAAAATCAAACCAGAGAACCGAACATTATTTGGCAGAGGCTTCCCTTTCTCTTTTCCCTCTTCCCGTCTTTCCCCGCGAGCTTGGTTGTGTGATTCCCTATTATCTCCAAATGTCCACGATGCCCCCTTTTAACCCCGCGCGCGCGCTCCGCCCGCGTGCCCACTTCTCTACCTAGCCCGCTACTGCCCGCAAACTCTATAGTCAAACTTCAGTTATATATAGAACGAAAACAAACTACAATATAGAAAGAAAACAAACTACAAAGATCTACAAAGCCTCTGCGGAGGAGAGTGTCCCTTAGCATGCATGAGTAACGAATTGAAAATAGATCAAAACAACGCCATATATAGACTATAATTATATAGTACACGAACAGAACATCGCGGAAATCACACATGTTTTTATCACATAATCTGACCTATAATACATCATGACTTCGCACTAAAGCGAAAGCAACTTGCATAATGATATAGAAAAATACGGTATTTGTGCACCATATAATTACAAGCCTTCATGTTCTAATGTTGAATGACAGCAGACATTGGCATCACTGCAAGTGTAGTATTATTTAAATTGAGCGTTAAAATGTAAACGTATTAGATTCGTACAGGCCACTGCATGAAAAATATGATTGTGTTCGAGGTCATATGATTATGAGCGTCCGGCTATTGCTGTCTCGATAATTTGGCTACTACAGCAAACACCCTCTTTCAATGGGCAAAGTTCTGCATTACAACGTAAATCGAATTCAAATGTAAAAAAATGAATTAATTGCGAAATAAATTAAATATTAACCTTCGACCACAGGAAATTTCAACAAAAACCTAGAAACTTTCAGTTGAACAGAGACTGGACAATACATCTGCCATCTGGTTGGTTCACGAACACTGATGCAATTTCTCTAAATCCAATTAAGTACACTGCAAAGCAGTTATCGAAGTTATTTATTGATATCTATAGATTTAATTGCATGAATTCATTCAATTTGTATAAATTCAGTGGAATTTTCAAATATTTTCGACATTTTAAAAACTTATGACGTAATTCCGTGCGTCTGTCCTCTAATAGATCATGGCTCTCGACCAATGAAATCGCATGAATTCTTAAGGTTATTATATAAATAATAATAATAGTTCAGGCTCAGTCTGAATGTTTTTTTTTTACATGTTTTGCACCTCAACCAGTTCATATTATAATTTAAAACTCAGTATATTAAAATAAAATTCTAACCATTCTTCCACTAGATGTGCTTCGTCAATCACAATAACTTTAACAGAATCTTGATATGATTTTGACTTCAAAATATTTTGAAAAATTTTCTTATCTTCCAATAAGGCTTCTGGGTGAGCAAATATTATCTGACTTGGATGAGCAATCTGATGATAAATTGAGCCCCTCTCCGACCGCATGCTGTGCTTTGGTTGCGTTGCTTCCCTGCTGGCCTTCAAAGTTCAAAACACCAATATTCATGTGCTTTTTCAGTTTTGTAACCTGATCGACCATTAAGGCGTTTAATGGCGAAATAACAATTACTGAGTTACCAGTAGAATTCGTATTTTCACGACCCAAGTAGGCATCAAACACGAATGGAAGAAGCTGTTATATGAGTGACTTTTCCATAACCAGTAGCAAGACGCAAAATGTGTTCTTCCGATCATTCAACAACTACAGCCTTCACTGCTTCGTACTGACATTCCTTTAGCTCAATATTTTTCTTACCTAGTCGCTCTAACGCTTTTCCAATCCGCTATGAAATAAAGTAATACTTTCTGCAGGCCTTTTAATTTTTTTTTATATTTCAAAACCAAAACAATACTGTCTGACACACGCATGCGCAGTTCGGTCTTAGCCAGGATTCCTGGCTTCCGGCAACGGATTATCCCAGAGCCTTCGGTTCCTTCCCAAGGATCGCAGGCTCGGGGAACGAGATTGGGCAAACAACGACTTGATAAACTCCTAATTTTTAAAATCGTTAGGCAAGAATAATTACCGGCGCATTTAACGAAATTGACTCTACTGACGTTCTTGAATCTCTTGGTTGGGTGACTTTAGAAAGAAGAAGACAGAAGATGAAGTCACTTCTTCGGTACAAAATTTGTATTAATTATACTGCAGCTAATTTGAAAGAGTTACTGATTAGGAGTAGCTTAATGTAGGTTAATTGTCCCCTAGCCAACGGCGCGCAGCGCCGGCTATTTACACTCGGGAAAACGAAAGCATTAGCAAAGTCTAAAGTTCATTAATGATCGTGGATGACCGTTTATGGTTAATAATTATTTCAAAAATGAATTTCCTGCGTGCCAACCATTTCATAATACCTATATTGTGTGTGTGCATTTCAATGCCTACAGAAGTGAACAACTGGCCAATGTAGCTAATATAGCGGTACCCAAACGAAGTTAGGTATTGTTTTAAATTCGCTGCGTTAGTTTGACTCTGCCGGTTTGGTAGTTTGTGCAAAATCAGAAGCCATATACTGTAGTATGTCTTTGCGTTTTTTGTGCACTTGTTTTGCGGATACGTGTCGGCCTCTGTATACCGCTTAGAAGTTCGTACACATTTCAGTATTTTGCTCAATTCTCCAGATCACAATCGTCTTAAAATTGACTGGCTAAGTGAATTCTATACACTTTCCTTTGATTGGCAAGCTAAGGTCACCACTTCAATACCATTGGTTTCAAAATGATGCGATTACAACTGATGCTGACGCAAAGCTCAAAATAGCCGTGCGATTACAGCTCTAAAGTAGTGCGATTAATAATGGTTATTTAACTGAGTGGAGTGCAATTTGGACTGCAATCAAACGTTTGATTACAAAATCGCACGAGCGCGAAGCGAGAGTGCGATTTGTAATCACAAGTTTGATTTCAGTCCAAAATTGCACGACACGAAGTTCAATTTCCACTTTATGATATTCATTTTGAAATCTTAAATATTTTGTAAACAGGAAACGTTTTTGTTTTCAAAAGACAAGCCTCCGGTACCTCCCTGAGTGTGTTGTAGCATAGCAACTATAAGCGAACAAGATGAAGCGAACTTAGTTTTGTTAAATTGCATAAATACACGCTCAAAATAGTGAAAAAACAGGGTGTTAGCTAGCCCATATACTGTCCGTTTGACGGACTTTTCCCAATTGAAGTACTGTAGCTAAGAGGCTTTCCCAACTGGGACTACTGGAAGATTTTCATTTTTTATGATGAGAAAGTGCATTGCGTTTGATTTTATAATATTATATCAAAGAACATTTTATTTACTTTTTACCATTAACTATTTTCTCAAAATGTATCGCGTTTCATTCATATTGGGTGTATATTCACTGAAATGAAATGTACAAAACAAAGTGTAATCGGTGTGCATCTGTGTTCATTCACCGGAAATAAAATATACAAAACGAAGTGCCATCGGGTGCATTTTCAGTGTTCATTCACCGGGAATGAAATGTACAAAACCAAGCTTCCGTTGTTTGCATCTAAGGGGGAACACGTTGGAAAATAACACTATTTATTCCCACACATGGGCTTTGATCGGTCAAAAAACTTTCCCAATTTACGTTTAACGGACAGAACTTTTTTTCTGGCTAACACCCAGAAATACTACAAAAATATTAAAGAAATGAAGACATTTATAAAGAATAAGAAATGATACAAGTAAGTTTAAATGTATTGTAGGTTTTACGAGTGATTTGAAAGAGTTTTGCTGCAGTTTTGTGCGTTTAAAATTTCCAAATACGATAGGCATGTTTACCTTTGTTTTCCCTAAGTCTGACCTGACGCTTTAAATTTGCTTTTGTTGGCATTTTGCCTGTTACTATGTGAAATTTCAAAAAATTTAAAATTCTGTGCAATTCTTTGATAGTTTACAGTAGCTATCCATATTTGTTTGTTTTTTATCTGCAAAAAATTGCTTAGGCACTCCAAAGTATTAAAATCGTGACATATGTAAATTTTTTCTTTCTGCTCATTTGCCATATCACATTTTTGTTAAATTTGATTGGCTGTTTGAATCCTATGATTAAATATGATTGGTTTGCTGAAGTCAGCACTCTAATGTGATTGGTTCACAGGAGTGCGATTTCAGCACGAATCGCACTGCTAGGAGTGCGATTCGTGCTGAAATCACACTCCTGTGAACCAATCAGATTGCAGGAAATATCATGCATTGATTTCAAAATGTATATAATAAAGGCTGTAATATATTTATGGCAATATTATTAGCCAATCAGTTTTCTCGAATCGCCGGCCCTTATTTCAAAATGAATATGATAAAATAAGTAAACATTGATCTCACTGAACTAGGACTAGATAGAGCATTTGCTATGCAAAATTAATGAAGTCAATGGTGACCATATTGGTGTGAGCACCGCAAATCTACAGTGGTGTTATTGACATTTTAGACGGGTTTCTTAAAGTTTCTGGCAACTGATGGGAATAAACAAGATTGCCTAGAGAGAAATTGGTTATTAGTTGCCTCTCTTCCTTCTGAAATTTGCCAGTGAATAATTAATGAGGTTACACAGTCTAACATGACCACCTCAAGTGTCATTAGATTGTGTTTAAAACAATGTAAAACTCATTACAACTTTACGATAAGCACTTCTATAGCGCAAATTTATATGTGGATACGCCTTGCTGACAAAACCATTGTATTTTCTGAACATGAAGTATCTAAAGTAGTTGTCATGGTAACACGATAATTTTTTAAGAATATTCTTACAAATGAAAAATCAATGATTTTTGAGACGTTCTCTGGTTGAAGATTTTTTATTTACGAGCTTTCGGTTGCCAGACTGCAGCCTTCAACGGGTAGTTATAAAATACAGTGATACAGATGACTATACGGTTTACAATTACAGATCGAAGCATACGCCTACGCTACGCCTACACTGTAAATTTACGGTTAACAAATTACAGTGACAAACAGATAAGTGGAAGTGATAGTTCCGCCTATATATACTCTGAAAAAAATTGTTCTATTT